CACACACACACACACACACACACGACACTGTGTCAGGCCCTTGACCTTTGACCTCAGTCTGAGATCTGGAGTCGATGCTGCTCTGCGTCTGTGTTATTCTGCAATTCCACCGACAGACACTAGTTGGCAGATACTCATGAGTAATTAGACCAATCAGAGGTCTGCGTCGTTCAACATGTGACCTCTGACCTCACAACGCAAAACACACACATCTTTGGCAGGAAGCAGCAGCTTCTTCTACTGAACAAAACACACACACACACACACACACACACACACACACACCTCATCTGAATAATCAGTTTGTGTCAGTGGGAGAAATTCAGATGAACTGGCTGAGAGCTCCACCTGCTGTCACAGTCAGGTACCTGCACTGAACAACAACACTGAAGGATTGTGGGTAATGAAGTCTACTTTAAACTTTGTTTTTTACAGGTTCTGCTGTTTCCTGTCGAGGTTCAGATCACGTGACAGACGGGGTCACATGATTTGTCTGTTTTAAAAAACAAAACTTCAGATAATGAAATAAAACAAATATCTTTGACTCCCAGCCTCACACGTGTCAAATTACGTTTCACTGTTGTTGTGAAGAAGTTGTGACTCAGGTCGACCTGAACGCCTCACGCCTGAACGCTCCCTCTGACATCACGTGGTCAAAACTCTGAGGTTACACTGTAAAAAATAACCCTGACTTGATTTGACTTTCATGGTTCAGGTCACAGCTGATTTCTCCTTGGTTTTTTTTTTTAAGGCGTTTTCTTACATTTTTAAGGCAACTTTCCAAATTCACGTCCTGTTGTAACATTTTAAGGCCATTTCCTGTTCCTCGCTGTTGTTGGCACGAACACAGTAATAGCTGGTTACCATGACAACACTAGTATACAAGACATTCATACATCACTTAGACTGAAGACTGAAATACTTCGACCTGTTAACGATCTCAGTGGAACTCAAGGCAGAAATCAACATGACAAATGTTCGACCCTCAAACCTTCAGTCGCCCACAAAACATTCATTCATTTTAAGATCCAGGTATAAATTTAGCAGTACCTGTATAAAGTGTACCGTAAAATATTATTTTTATATTTCAACCCTTTAATATATAGAGGAAACACTATGTGTATTCAAAAAAGATGAAACTCAATGAAAATCTCAAATTTGGAGCTGAAACGATTTCTTAAGAAAAGACGGATTTTCAGATGTTCGGTAAACGAAGGAAGTGATTTATAGTGTTTAGTAGTTTTTGATGTCGTCAGATGATTGTGTGAGTAACAGACACGTTCAGACTGAGACACGTCTTCGTAACATCCACACAACGCGTTAGCGTCTTTAGCTCAACATGCTAATGCACATGTTTACGTGTTTCCTGGTTGTAACCTCCGCTGCTCGACCTGTGACGTGTTAACGACCTTCGACTCGTGTTCACGATGTAAAGTTGTGTCACATTCAGGTGGTTCTGTTGTTAGAACACTGTTCTATTGTTGGCAACGTAAACACGGACACTAATTAACATGACTGTCTAGAGACGCCAACTAGTACGCAAGCTAGCAGGTGGCTAACAAAGTAAAGGAAAAACAATTGAAAAGATGAGACTGATCAATTTCAACATTTTCTTCAGAAGTTATAAAAATAGTTTGATATTTTAAGAATTAAATTTTATATTATAACTGAGAACCTGTCACATGACTCTGAACCACAAGGCACATGGCGTCCAGCCGAGAGGCTGGCGTCTGTTATTTACTCCGGTTTCACTTTGGCTGTTTTACGTCTCTGTCTCACACCTGTCTCACACCTGTCTCACACCTGTCTCACACCTGTCTCTCATCTGTCTCACACCTGTCTCTCATCTGTCTCTCATCTGTCTCACACCTGTCTCACACCTGTCTCTCATCTGTCTCTCATCTGTCTCACACCTGTCTCACATCTGTCTCCGTCTGAATCATGTTTCTGTTACTGTCCATTCACCTGAGGTTTTTCATTTTTACACCTTAAAGTTTAAAATCAAGTTTGTGAGACACGAGGTCGGGGATCGCTGAGTCGTGATGTAACAGTGATGTCATCGGAGAGGGACAGAGAGAATCACAAAGACCTTTCACACGACAACACTCTCACTCACACACAAACCAAAGCCCATTAATAACAATAACAATAATAATAATAATGGTGATGAAGCAGAAACATCGTCCACCTTCAGCTTCATCATCTTCATCAGTCCTCCGTGTCTCTTAATGTGAAGTCTTTTGTCTTCCAGACAGGAAGTCAGCCCGATCTAATAAACAGTTTTCTAATATTGTATGAAACTGAAGTTAACACCTCCTACTGATCACCTGATCACCTGCTGATCAATACCCCCCCCTTCAGTCTACCAGACCTCACAGCGCGTCCCGGGGTTCATGGGCGTCCCGGTGGGACAGCTGAAGTGGTGGCTGAAGTCCGGGGAGTTGGCGAGCGTCCCGATGACTCTGTATCTGGGGGGGCTGTGGGTGTCGGTCACCAGGCCCTCGTGAGCGCTCTCTGGTGTCCGAACTGAGCACCACACCTGAAAAATACACCAGAGACTTAGAACCTTCACTTTGGTAACGAGGCGACGTGAACTGAGCTCACTTCAATCATGATGCTTTCTTTGACCTCGTCCAGACAAAAGATTAAAAACATGAGAATTCAACACAAACGCTGGCGACGTCACAGGAAGCTGAACTGCATCATGGTCCCCTTGCTGGCGTCGCATTGATTTTAGAAAAGCTCAAGTTTTCATTCGGCAGCACAGACACCGGCCAATCAGCTCACACGGATATAAATCCAGGTCATCAAGACTTTACTGACTCATCAGCGTTTAGTTTCATGTGCATCTTGGGCTCGGTGAGAAAACATCGATAGAACAGGTTGATGCACACGGCACCGAGTGGAGGAGGAGGAGGAGGAGGAGGAGGAGCAGCAGCACAGGTGCTAATGTTTGGGTCCTGCAGAGAGGACGACTCTGCATCGTCATGTTTTCAGAAGGTTTCCACCACTGAATGATTCTAACACCGCTGCTCCAGGACAGACGCTCATTAAAAGTCTGGTCGGTCTGTGTCCTCCTCTGACCTGCGCTCACTTTAACAGGAAACACCAGCACTGATCACAAGTTATCTGGACACGTTCAGGACTGACGTTTACTTTATGTTTGTTTCTCTAGAGTTTATGAGACACGTTTAAACCTGCTACACAACACGAGACAGGAAGCGGTCAGGACTCAGGGTTAAAGTGACCGGAACGATCTGGAGTCAAGATTAGTTATGAAGATCAGTTCTACGTGTGATGATCAGAAACCATCAGGAGCAGAGTCACTTGTTGACCAGCTGAGTGATGCACCTCAGTGGAGCTGACTTAAGGTAAGATGGTAGACAAGAGAATAAAGTAGAAGACAATAGAACAGTTGAGTATGTGCATTATAGAAAGCTTTTCACTGGAGTGGTTTGTAAAGTGCAGTGGTGCAGGATGATTGTACGAGCAAGTCCAAATCTTTTAGTGCAGAAGATTCTACATGAACACAAATGTGCAAAAAAGATCATTTCTGGTTATTTGATTTATATCGTGATGTAAATTTATAAGAAAAAAATGATCGCGATAAGATGTTTTGACATAATCATGTGATTTTTTTTTTACCTGCGCAAACCCCACAAAGAAGAGCTGGTCATTGGTCAGGTTGACGGCAGGAAGTCTCTTTTCTTCTCCGTTTCTCTGGACCCACGACCGATAGGCCTGAAAAACATGTAGTGGAAAACATGAAGTGACGTTGTGTTTCACAGTTCCGGTGTTTTGTTCGACTTGTTGTTACGAACATGGTACGCAGCCTTCAGGCCTCCGTTGTCAGCGATGTTTTCTCCCAGCGTCTGTTTTCCATTGACGTGTTCTCCGTTGACGGTGTAGCGACTGTACTGATCCACCATGCACTCTGTTCTTTGACGAAACGCCTCCACTGACGAGTTCTGCCACCACGGCCTCAAGTTTCCTTCTTTATTGTACTCGCGACCTGAAGCACAGATGGACGAGTCCACATCTTAATGAAACTGAGAAGATGCCACTGTCACATCACGTTCTCTCATTCTGATCCTGAACATCATCCACACGTCTTCACTCCGTCCAGACTGAACCTGTGACAGGAAGTAGACTGGAGCAAAGATCAAGACTCACCCTGATCATCGAATGCGTGAGTGAGCTCGTGACCCATCACCACCCCGATTCCACCAAAGTTCAGCGCCCTGAAGACACAACGTTTATACATGAGGTGAAGAAGTTACTGCAAAGACCTGAAGAGTACCAGAGGGGGTCGTCATAGAGCCCCCTACAGGCTCCAGTGTTCATTACAGCCCCAATCTAAACATGCAGCAACTTAAAGGGACAGTTCACTGAAAAATTAAAAGTCCCTCATTATCTCCTCAGCACAATGAGTGTGAGTGTGTGTGTGTGTGTGTGTGTGTGTGTGTGTGTGTGTGTGTGTACTGAAGTACCTGGAGACAGATTTCTTTATATGTAAAACAATCTCATTTAAAAAGTTGAAGTTAAAGGTGAAATACAGAGGTGAACAGACTTGGGGTGGTCGTGGGCGTAGAAAGGAGCCTGCAGGATCCCGGCAGGGAAGACGATGCCGTTCTTAGTGGACATGTAGTAGGCGTTAACTGTGGGGGGAGTCATACTCCACCTGTGGGAGGAAACGAGAGGAGGAGTTTATTTAAAGTTCATTCAACGGAACAGAGGTCATGTTCCCAAAAAATATAATTGAATCTCAGTCAGTAAATGATGACTTTGTTTCAGACTCTTCAGTCTGAAGCTGAACGTGTGAACGGTTCCTCAGACCAGAAGAGGTGTTCTGGGTCTGGATCAACCTGAACCTGGTTCTGTTGGTTCACAGTGACTTTTGAACCAATCACAGGAAGTAGAGACACATTAAACCACAGAAGAAAAAGAAGAAGAAGAAGAAGAGGAAGATGGGGCCATTTAGTGAATACGACTTCTGATTATTGGTGTATTTGTGTCACTATTACTGGTCTTTGTTGGGAGTCTTCCTCAGCTGGTCGGCCATCACACGCGCTGAGAAGTTGTTGAAGTTCAACATGTTCTGGAAGAAGCTGTCGTCTGACACATCGTACTGAAACACAACAGAGCTGTTATAAGACGTGTGTGTGCTGGTGTTTAACAGCAGGAGGCAGCAGAGCACCACCTCCTGTCTGCAGGTGAATATTAAACCAGATACAACCAGTTAGGACTCACTCCGTCATAAACGTCGTCCAGCTCTTTGGGGTCCAGGATGAATTCTGGGAATCCAATCATATCGTAAATCGCATCTGCCTGACAAGGGAGCGAGAGACACAGTTGGAACAAGACTGGTCATTATCTTTAATCCACCTGTCCTCTCCCTGTCCTCTCCCTGTCCTCTGTCCTCTCCCTGTCCTCTGTCCTCTCCCTGTTCTTCATGTACCTTTTCTTTTGCAGCCTGTCTGGTCTGACCGTCCATCCAGCTCAGTCGGTCCAGAGCGTCTTTGAACGCTGATCGGATCTCGTTGATCATCTCCTCAGCCTGAGACAGACAGATTGAGAGTCAGACAGATTGAGAGACAGACAGATTGAGAGTCAGACAGATTGAGAGACAGACAGGTGAACACACCTGTATCTGGTCCCTGTGGTAATAACCAGACTACAGTCATTATTTCTGCAGGTGTAAATCTGCCAGTGACTCACGATCTCTTTGCTGTGTTTGTCGAACGTCGCCTTAACAAAGAGGGCTCCCAATGCGAATCCCAGATTGTCGTCAGTGTATCCAATACAGGTCTGCCAGCGAGGGGTGCAGGACTACGACAAGCGTCACAGGGTACAACCAGTAAACCAGTTACAGTCACTTAGAACCAGTTAAACCCGTTACAGTCTCTTAGAACCAGTTAAACCCGTTACAGTCACTTAGAACCAGTTAAACCAG